CATCATCATCATTCTCATCGTAACAAACTTGCAAAAATCTAAATGGTTGATAACTGATTTTTTTCTAACCTGTAACGTTGATACAATTCCCTCTTATAAATAAATAAAAACGTTCATAAAAAACGTTCTTATGTATAAAACCATTGTGTCATTCCTTTTGTTTCAAGAATAAATGGTCAATTCTTTAAGAAAACCACACAATAATAATGGCTACATTACAAGATAATAGTTCATCAAAAATGCATAAGATCCACGCAAAGCATAATATTTTTTAGCTTTTAATAAAAAAATGTCTTTTTTGTTACAAGCTTAARATAAATCTCAAAACATTAAAATAATCATTTCCAGATGGGAAAAATGTCWATTTTAACATTTGTATTATAAGAGGGGGGTCTTTAATTTGCACAGTTTGCAGACATTGCATAATCTGTGTTGATTTTCGTCTTCACATGACCTATAATGTCAAYGATATTGGTGRCTGTGAGGGGGATTCATAACACGCACATGGAAGATTAAAAACACTGACCTTATCCTGTTGATTGTTAAAAGGCCCTTTTTATATTAATTTAAGCAAAGACATTTGTTGCAATCAGAACTAAGTTATGTTTGTTATTAGTATGTTATGTACTGATTTTGCAGGAAATAAATGCTATTTGTGATTAAGAAGTAGTTGAAAGTGACGTTTAGCTCAGTGTCTGATTATGATAAAAGAGTATAATACACTAAATGACTTTACCTTCTTATGATTTTCAAGAATTGTACTATAAATAGAGAAACATAATGTTATTGTATTRCACAATAGTATATCTAGATTAAACAAATGTCTGCATGCAAAAACCTATAAATCATACTTGTAATTTAATTTGATTTAGATTTCTCAATTTTAATATAAATTTAAAAAATTTGATGATTGAATCTTAACTTAATTTAAAATTTTGAAATTTAATTGCAACATATATTTTGACTGTTTTTCTGTATAGAAGTCTTGTATGTCTCTTATAGTCTTCTTTCTATTTTAGATAGTTGTCATTTTTGAATTAAAATTATACAAAATAATGCACTATTAGTTCTATCTATCTTTAAATCTTTGAACATCTCCATGGTTACAATTAACATTAATCTGACATAATTGTAACATCTCTAGTCTAGAGTCTGAAGACATCCTTCTATGTGTCGTGAATACAGTAGACAACTTAAAAACACATTATAAAACCTGATTGTTATTTCAGGTATTATTTTGGTATTTTAATTTTGTTTACACCAGATATCTTGAAATAACTCTTTTTTTCCTTTTTCAGTAGATAGAGATAATTAATGTGTCTTAATATAGGAAAATGGAATTTATGTCCACTAAACAAATATTTTTACTGTCTAAAGCCCTAATATATTTGTTAAAACATCAATGGTATACTTCATAAAACTGCTCATTAAAAAAAAAAAATAAATTAAAAATTATATGACTTGATATTGTTATTCTGTGCTTTCATATATATAATAATGTATTATGCATTAAGATTTCATGTTGGGCTTTTATAACTTGAGTGGCCATGTTTTATTGGGATTACAATCTCTCGCCTGCGGGTTGTGTTCCTAATTCACATACAACATGCTTGCCCATATGCTACATACATAATATATATATAAGGCTTGCAGTCCATTGTTAATTCAATGTAGACTTCTCTTGAGAAAGAGAATGGAATAAATTATTAAAAAAGAAAGAAAATTGAGGTAAAGGATTAAAAAGGTTATAATATCACAAGAAAAATATAAATAAACGTTTTTTAGCACTTAGTATATAATATACATTTATTCTTGCATGGTTACATTGCCATAAAAGGAGAACTAATGATTCAGAAATTATAGTTTAAGAGCATGTTAAGGCTTTAGGTGGTATTTTAGTATATATTTTATTTTGTTTTTTACAGCTTTTTATGCTATATATAAATTATGACACAACTGATAAAAAAATTTGCTTAGTGGTGGCATCAATTGTTTACTAGCCCACAATGAAAAATAATCAAAATTTTATTCTTAGAATAAGACKTAAAGAATAACAAATGTTTGATTCTTTTASCTAAAATGCAGGTGAGCCGTTAACAGGAAATTTTCAAGTGTATTTTTAGATCATTTTCTATTTTTGTTTTTCAAATTCAAATACACAATCAATATCAATTGTTCCATTTTTGATATTATGAACAGGAACTAACTCTGTRTGTGAAATAATGTCTCTTACTATAGAGAAGATTTAAATGATTGTGGAACATGTGTACTCTGACATGARTATTTCTTTGTTGTTTAAAAAATATATGTTTTATGGAAATATATAGAAGATATATTACATGGCCTTGAAGAGATACAAATTTTATGTTGGAGTGTTGAAACATTTTCAACACAAGAAGATAAAATTTGTATCTCCAAGTGACCACATAATATTTTATTTATCATATGATTRTCAATGTAAGCAAAAGATGTTTTAAAATATGTCTTTTATTTACCTCCAATATATAGAGATACCACAAATATGTTATGTTCACTTTGCGTAATGGAGAAATATACATATAGGTATATTATAGATAACAATATGATAAAATGATTGTATCTATTTTATAATGATAGAATAGTGTGTGCTTATTGGAGAATAAAACATTGCAAAAGATTGTTAAAAATATATTGTGAATATTTATAGTATATGATATTGACTTTTCTTATTAATATGGGTGAACTGAAACCTATTTATATTATCATAACATATAAAATACCTATATTTSTCCATTAAGTAAAGTTGGTATCTCTATATATTGGARGTAAATAAGTTATTTTATCATCTCAACACTCGGAGATAAAATTCGTATCTCCACACGCCCATATACCGTTTTTACCCATGTATAAGCCGCTCTCGTACATAAGCCGCACCCCGAGTTTTAGAAACGTTTTTKAGRAAAACAAGACRGAAAATCAACTTTTCTCTTTTTGATCGCCACTTGCGAACACAGCTTTCTTTGATTTTAAAGTGTTGTTCTGCTGCTCGATTTCTGTGATCCATGCATTTCRTACGCAATTACARTCAGTTTATTTAGCGYGGTATATCCTCTATATGTATAWTTTTTATTTGCGATAGAAGCAAAAAATATCGATAAACATTCAGTTTCCAGTTTTTGCCAAATGAAATATTTTTTATTAAAATGTGTGTATAAAACAATAAAAAAAACATTTTAATAATAAAATTGGCAATTTTCATAAGTCAACTCAACTCAAAAAATTATTGTCCATGCAACCACCTGTCTATAATAGACCTCTTAATGTAACCGTCTGTATGAGGTAGTTTTAAAGACATATGTTGTTGCCATTGCTTTTTATGTGATTATGCAACAGAGATTTTGGCCARTGGCAATCTTTGGGGCTAAAGACAAAATATGAGAAACATATTATCAACTTTCCTGTTTCTGTTTTATTGCAGGAAGTTGCAGAATATGTATTTTTAGCAGTTTTTACCCTGGAAGCTCTTCTTAAAATAATAGCTTATGGCTTTGTGATGCACCCTGGAGCCTACCTTAGGAATGGATGGAATATTTTAGATTTTGTGATTGTTGTAGTTGGGTGAGTAAAAGTAATGRATATATTCAAATTTTTGATTTCGCATGTTTCGTTCACACGTATTCGAACTGTTATTTTTTTAATGCGCAAAACGAAACCACCGAAAACGACGAATCTAACGCGATATTTTTGGAAATGCTTTTCAAAGAGGAAATTTTCGAAAATTCGTTCGAAAACAACGATCGATTTTCGTGTAAACATTGACACAAGAAAATGCGGGTTAAGACATATCCAGAACGTGTATGCGGAAACTTCCCATGACATATACAATTTACTTCAATTGTAAATTTTCTCATWTGATTGGTCTAGCGCCGTGGAAGATGGATGAAGTACTTAATCAGGGTTTTTATACTGAGATTTCTCTCAAATTTTTCGTGTCTCTTTTTCTTTCTTAAAGTTTTCTTCCTTTTTTTCTTTTCTTTCTTTTCCTTTACTTCCTTTTGGCTTTTTTTTTTCTTTTTCTTTTCTTTTTTTTTTCTTTCTATTCTCTTTCTCTATTTTTGGGGGATTTTTGGATTCATGTCAAAAAGCGAAAAAATACAATACACTATTGTGAATTAAAAAAAATACTTTTCAATTTTGTACGTTCTCAATTTAGTTTACACGCAGATATGATGATGATGATGATGATGATGATGATGATGATGATTGTAGTGGAAAGAAAAAAATATCAACAGCACTTTTAATGAGCACATTTTATTTGCCATAAAACTGTCCAAACTCACTCRCTATAAAAGTATCWTCTCATCCATTGCTTCTATTTTCAGACTTGCAACTATTTTAGTCAAGGCSTTAAATTTAGAAAGCTTTGACGTGAAGGCTCTTAGAGCGTTCCGAGTTCTCAGACCTCTACGTTTGGTGTCTGGTGTACCTAGTAAGTATAAGTGTCCWTTGATTAATTTATACTTTCATGAACTTCTCCAGGTTCTCAAAAGTAGCCGGTAATCGGCGAGATTTCCCAGATAGAAGAATAATATTCGTTTTCACTAGCGCAGAAGCATAAGTAGAGTCACAGACGTAAGGTTATCAGATCCAGGGGCGGATCCAGCTGGTGGGTTCGGGGGGTGCGCACCCCCACCCCTCCCCACCCCCCACCCCTGAGATCTGTATCATTCAATACTTTCCTTATTTTGTATCTGTATCTGTATCTCACATCAAAGTGAGCCTTCGTACAACCAAAGGCAAGCCATGTAAACGTAAAAAGTTCAGCTGGAAGAGACTACCAGATCCTGAATTAAAGGACGAGTTTCAATACTTTCCTTATTTTGTATCTGTATCTGTATCTCACATCAAAGTGAGCCTTCGTATAACCAAAGGCAAGCCATGTAAACGTAAAAAGTTCAGCTGGAAGAGACTACCAGATCCTGAATTAAAGGACGAGTTTCAACTAAAACTGTCTAACCGTTTTACAACCCTTGCTGTATCTGAAACAATCACAGAAAGATATAACCACTTTGAAAAAGCAGCTTGTGATGTTGCCACTGAGGTCATCGGACAACAAAAGTCTTCTTTTTTTTTTTTTGAGGGGGTAGCACTTAATAGTCCTTAGACTAATAAACTTGTGGCCCTCTATATATTCACTCATACTCACTACCTCAACATTCATTATTTTACTACACGACACTCCTCACAACTAGTTTTTGACTGAGGGAAACCAGCGGACCTGGAGAAAAAACCCTCGGAGCAAGGAAGAGAACCAGCCTACAAACTCAAATCACATATAGTCCCGGCCCGGGAATCGAACCAGGACCACAGCGGTGATAGACCGGCGTTTTAACCGCTCGGCCATCCTTGCTCCCCACTGGTCTCCCTTATTGGGTGTCAAGAGAAACAGAGGACCTCAGAAAAGCCAGGGACGTAGCAAAACAAGAACACGTTTCCACCAAGTCTGCTGTATCCAAAAGAAGACTGAAAGAGTTAAACACTGAGCTGAATGCATCCTAYCAGGCAGATGAGATCAAATATCTCGAGAACCAATTAAAAGCACTGACTACTGCTGATGAAAAGCGAGTAATCAGCAAAACCTGGTCTATCATTCACGAATTATCTGGGAACGAAAAGGAAACAGAGTACAGCCAAAGTAAAAAAAGGGTGTGGCTCCGATCCAAACAACCAGCAGGAGCTTCTTAATGAATGGAAGGAATACTTCAACACTCTCCTGAATAACAAATCGATAATTGCAGCTGCAAAACCACCGCCAGCTGATACCGATCTCCCCATTGAAACACACCCTCCCACTCTTGAAGAGACCAAAAAAGCTATTAAATCCCTGAAGCGTAACAAAGCGGCTGCCCTCGATAGTAGCATCAMACCCGAAGCGTTGAAGGACGGAGGAGAATCTATGATCAAACTTGTCCATGACTTCTGTCAGGAGGTATACATTAACAAGATACCCCCAGATCAATGGGTTACAAACCTCATCGTACCAACTCCAAAGAAAGGAGACCTATCGCAAATGAACAACTATAGAGGAATCTCATTAATGTCAATATGTGCAAAAGTTTACAACAAAATCTTACTAAATAGAATACAGTCCGTAGTGGATCCAAGACTAAGACGCAACCAGGCAGGCTTCAGACCCGGACGCAGTTGCACACAGCAAATTCACACCTTGAGACGTATCCTGGATGGGTTCAGGGCAAAGCAACTTCCTCTCGTAGCGACCTTTATCGACTTCCGTAAAGCCTTCGACTCAATAAACCGTGACTCTATGTTCGCCATTCTTAGGAATTATGGAATCCCTGAAGATATTGTCAGTGTCATTCGGGTGCTTTATGACAACTCGAAAAGGACGGTCTTTGTTGATGGTCGTTTGTCCGATACATTTGAAGTAACAACAGGTGTCCTCCAGGGTGATGTCCTCGCTCCATTTCTTTTTGTCATCATTGTTGACGATGTCATGTCTCAATCAACTCGTGATAGTGATTCCGGCTCACTCACCCACCCAAAAAGATCCAGGAGATACCCTACAAAGTATTTGAACGATCTCGATTTTGCTGACGACATCTGCCTGCTAGAATCATCAACTCTAAGAGCGCAGGTCCAACTTGACCGTACAGTTGATGCCGCAGCCTCAGTCGGACTCATGATCAACACCGACAAGACTGAATTCATTCGTTTCAACTGTCCAGATGATCCAAACATTTGTGTTGSCACAGAAATGCTAAAGCAAGTCGAAAAYTTCAGATATCTCGGTTCCATGGTTCCATGGAATAAGCGGAGCGAAGGAATGAATGATTTTCAACGCGAAAAGATAAAATCCGTATCTCCAAGCGAACATGTAATTTTCTGTTTATCGTATAATTGACCATGAAAACAAATTATGATTTAAATTTTRTACATAGGAGTGCCACGAATGTGCTGTTTTCACTTGAGAAATACAGGCATTTCATTACCGTATCCAAGGCCGAAGGAATATATCGAATCTCGTCTCGAGCACTCTTTTTTCTTCTTTCTTTTTAAATATCATATTGTTGTTACAGACATCTTGATTTTCTGTAGACTTYGTTTAATAATTATTTTCGAGCCATTATTTTGATTTTACAATTTTACACGCAAGATCATACTTGAATAGCAGCGTTGAACTGACGATCTCGGGTTCGATTCTCGACTCGAACAGCTTTTTTCTTTCTTTCTTTCATTTCTTTACCTTTCTTTTTTTCTTTCTAAAATCATTTTATGCAAAGCAAACTTTCATCTTATAAATTCTCTAAGGATAATGCGAATGCAATCTGAATGCTAAATTAAAATTAAAAAATGATGTGAAAAGATYACKCAAAATCTATCAAATCKATCGCGGCGGTGGTAAAAATATATATTAGCGTAACCTGGACACGGTATGTTCCACGAAGTGGTTCTTGTTGTATGATAAGTGCATATCATCAAATTTSGAAGTGAATTGTYGTCRGATTTCTAAGTATGGCTTTGTTTTTGGTTCTTGTGYTYCTGCTTCCAWTTGAGGACATRCTCATATTGCGTCTACGAACTTTTMAATACTTATATGTCGTCAAATGTCTAAGTAAGGACCTGCTTATATTCTAATTTTAAGTACTCAAATCCCATCAAATTTCCAAGTGAGGGCGAGCTTTTGAATACTTATGTGTCGTCAAAATTCCAAGTGAGGACCTGGTTATCACCGCGACTTATACTCATCTCGTAAACATGTTCAAGTGAGAACGTTTTATATAAACGTACTTATGTTTGTGCTTATTCCCAAGCCCTAACGCTTGCGTTTATGTCCTAAAGAAAACCACTCTTTCATTCCTTAGTAAAAATCTTGCAAATCTATGGTGAACTAATGATTTTGTTTTCAATTTTCAGGTTTACAAGTTGTGCTAAATTCTATTATCAAAGCCCTTATACCACTGTTTCATATCGCACTGCTCGTGGTTTTTGTAGTTATAATATATGCAATTATTGGAGTAGAATTATTTATGGGCAAGCTGCATAAGACTTGCTACGACAACGTAACAGGTATGGCTGTMATGYACGGCGTTTTGCAAAAATTCTGTMAAAACCATCACTGGAAAAGTAGATCAATTTACAGAGTCTGTAAATTTACAAAATGTCCTTTTAGAGTACAAACATTAAATGTGTGCAACACTTTCCACTAATTACTACAAAATAGTGTTGATTAAACAATAGAAAACAATAGAATTAGCATAATTTAGCAGTATTTAGTTGTATTTATGTTGCTTTTTAGTGTTTGTACTCTATAAACTTTGTAAATTCATTTTATTAAGATATTTACAATGTTTGATAGGGCAATGTTTAGAAGATATTAACAGAATGTACATATAAAAATGTACAAACTTGTAAATGACATTTTGTTACAGTATATTAACAGTTTATTTACGTATTATTTATTGAATCTGTAAACAAATTAACTTTTTCAGTGTATGGATATCGATATACACATATATAGCTATAACAATAAATCCTAATATTTTGCTAATTTCCAATATTTTTGTTATTATTAAATGTAATTCGTGTCTGTATAACATCGGCGAAGATATTTAGGTTTTAAACCAGTTTTTCAGTAMATATTTCTCACAATGCACACTTAAATGTGAATATATAGAGATAACGTCGACTTTGAAAGAATTTTTGCAAAACATTGTATATTATTTGTGCGAATCARTTTATACTTTGTTTAAAGTTYATTTTAATGGACCTACACGAAAACGCTATAGACCCATTCTAGAGACGCCATTT